GCAGTTTGCGACTTTAATATGTGTTTCACATTTATCATGCTTGGTTGGGAGGGTAGTGCACATGACAGCAGAATATTCAAGAGTGCAACACGGAATCCCCATTATAGCTTTCCTCATCCTCCTCAAGGTATGTTGCGCCATGAAAAATTGTATTTTGCTAAAATGTGTTTTTTTAAAATGTGAGACTGAAGGTCGGGGAAGGTGCAACTGAAGGTTCAACAGTAGAATATTAATGTATTTTTTTAAAATGTGAAACTGATGGTTCAACACCTTACAGACAAGTATTATTTGGTGGATGCTGGTTATCCGTTGCAACGAGGGATCTCTAACCATATCCTGATACCAGATATCATATACCTGATTTTGAACGAGCAAGTAACGTTACACGAAACAGAAAGGAGGTGTTCAACAAAAGACATTCCTCTTTGTGAGGCGTCATCGAGAGGACATTTGGTGTCTGGAAGAAGAAGTGGGTGATATTACGTGATATGCCTCCTTACCCATTTCCAAAACAGGTTCAGATTGTAATAGCGATGATGACAATACACAATTATATTAGGCGACACCCGTCTCGATATGACATTGACTTCCTCAATGCTGAAGCAAATCAACAGGAAATAGCTGAAGACCCATCTGAAAACCAAGTTGGTAGTTCTATGTTACAAGATGAGAGTGAACAATCAACCATTTGTACTAAGGAGGGGGAAGGCGCAATTGAAATAGCGGCCATTCGAAAACAAATTACTAATGCGTTGGTTAATATTTGATTAATTTGCAATTTCTTATAATGACAAAACAGTCAAATTATGAGTGTTTGGTAGGAGATGTTAATTTATGTTCACTGGTGATGTAATAAATAACTTTATTAAGGATTAAAGCTTTTCATAAATGGTTATGAATGATCATTAATTGCTTTTAGCTGGAAGCTGTTTAGATTAAAATGGGTTTTCAAGAAACTTTTGAAGAATTCAAAATTGAGAATTAATTTTAAATTATGATCCTAAAAAAGTAAGTGTTATTCAACAAAATATGTAAGTTTAGATGTGTAATATGTTGACACAATAATTATGTTATATTTACGTACATTCCCTAAGTTATATCAACTTTTGAAGAATTCAAAATTGAGAATTAATTTTA